ATTAATGACATTATTGGCTTCCGGATGGATGCTGCGTTTGGTTTCAGCATTGCGCCGACGTTTCGCAAACATTGCAGTCTGCATCTTCAGGGCTATGAGCTCCGATTCTGAACTCCGATGTCTGGGCGTTGTCCTTATATGTCTTCCCCTGTGATGGTGGCGGAAGGGGAAGGGGGGGTCAGCCAATCGTATATTTTTAATTGATCAGCTGGTCGATTAAAAAAAAACCGGAGGGACGGTTTTCCAAATGGGGTTCACTTGATATCCTCTGTCCCTGTTGAGGGTGTTAGGGTTTTTATGGATTTCCATACCCTCTCGGTATTTCCTTTCGAAATACCCTTGAGATTTGGCCAACATCCTGGCTTCGTCGTACTGGATAGTATGTCCAGTATCCATCCAGTCAGCCAGGGCAGACTGTTCTGAGTGACCGTATTTGGAACACCGCCGGTGTTCCTTGATCCGTGTACTGATCTTCCTCCCGGTTTCTCCAATGTACACTTTCCCGCATGAGCAAGGGATCTCGTACACTCCTGGTGTTCTCAGAGGTGGTCTTGGATCCTTTGCACTCGGCAGCATCTGTCCGATCTTCTTTGGGGGTTAGAAGATCGTTCGCATGTTATGTTTTCCGAGTAATTTACTTATGCGTCCTGTTGTGCCTCTCAGATAGGGAAGGAGGGCCACTTTAGGTCTTTCCTGGTTTTCCTCAGGATCAGTCTCCTCTCGGGGAGCAGAGAATCTTGACCTTTCGAATTTGAGAGATGTTATATCCATTCTTGGTCAGAGCTGTCTCAAGATGTTCAACTTCACTGTCGACGTTGGAGGGTTGGGAGCTTGTGAGTGCTCTATACATTAGGTAGCTAATGACAGAGATCTTTTGGAAGGGGTGGTGATGGGAAGTGGCATTCAGATACCTATCTGTGTGAGTTGGTTTGCGATATACTTGGTGGCCTAGAGTGCCATCCTCGTTGCGTCGAATCAGCACATCTAGAAATGGAAGACATCTGTCCTGCTGAGTTTCCATGGTGAATTTGATGCTTGCGTGCTGAGTATTCAAAAACTCCAGGAACTGAGTTAGAGCAGTCTCACCATGTGACCAGATGACAAAGGTGTCATCCACATACCTGAACCACAGTTGGTTTCTGAGGCGCTGACTTTAATACTTCATTCTCAAAATGTTCCATGAATATATTTGCAATAATCGGGGAGATGGGAGAACCCATTGCTGCTCCCGATTTTTGCTCATAGTACTCTCCTTCGAACTGAAAGTATGTAGAAGTCAAGCAGTGCTTAATTAAGGGAAGGAATCGGGGGGAAAGGTCTTTGGATTTTTTAATGATTTCTAAGGTTTCTGGGATTGGGACATTAGTGAAGAGTGATTCTACATCAAAACTCACTAAAATATCATCTGGAGAAGTCCTGAGATTACTCAGTTTGTTGACGAGATCCAGTGAGTTCTGAATGTATGAATCACTCAGACCAGTCAGCTTTTGGAGTGGTTCCGTGAGAAACGTAGCCAGCTGGTAAGTTGGCGCTCCAATGTTGCTAACAATAGGACGAAGAGGAACAGACTCTGTGGATTTTGGAGATCCCATAGAGTCTGAGAGGAAAGGATTCTTAGGAGTAAGGAATTTTGTCAGGTCCGCCGAGAGATCACCTTTCTTCAGGAGATCAGTAGTTTTACGTTCAGTTGTACGAGTAGGTTCCTTCCTAAGTTCTATGTAAACTCTGGAGTCACTCAACATCGCACTGAGTTTTCCGAAGTAGTCGTCCTTATCCATAACCACCGTGGCATTGCCTTTGTCGGCCGGAAGAATAATGAGATCATTATTCTCCTTTAGACTACGCAGTGCAAGACCCCCCTTCCTGGTGATATTGTCACTAGGTGGAGTAGCCTTATGGAGGATGTTGGACAACGGCCTCCGGATCTCATCACTGGTCTCCGAAGGAAGATGGTAGATCGCTGTCTCGATCCGACTGATAATTTGCTCGGTAGGGATCTTCTTGGGGGCAACAGCGAAGTTGTGTCCTTTCGCCAACACAGACACTTATGCTTCACTGAGCTCGTATTTGCTCAGATTCTTCACAGTGCGAGTGAGGGTTGGGACTTTCTCCTGCGGGATCAGCTTCTTGAAATTACCCTTCTGGCTCTCAGTTCTCATCTCCGCTCTTCGGACTGTTTGTTCATAATGTAACGAACATGTGGGGATGTTCGTTAGAGACAACACCAGGACCTGAGAACATCCACCTCTGGCAACATTCAGTAACGAGAGAAATTAGAGTTTTGTTTCCCACTCCCGTGTGGTCATTTTTTCCGATTATCCCTGGGATAATCGAGTCTTATTTTCCCGTTTAAGCGGAGTTATTTTTCGTTTGCTTCGCAGTTCGTTTAGTAATATTGCGGTTTCGTTTCGTTTCTGATTAATAAAGATCTGAAATTACGCGTTTTTGAGGGCCCATAGGGTTATTGTGAAGAAGGGCCAAATTTTAGAGTCATCCGATAACCTTTATGGGAACCATCCTATTGTTAATCCCACGGTAAATCGATTAAGTCCGGCTGAAATGCCGGCGCTCCAAATTATAATGGATTTTACGGTGGTTAAATGGTTACGTTTTAGTTTTTCGGTGGAAGGTCACGAACAAGTGCAACCCTTGTATCCCGTGAATTGCCAGGTTGCTTAGAGTTTTGGAAAATTAGGAGAATTAGTTAGGAGTATCGGTCTTTTAACACCGTGAACCCAGGAGAACCGACCCATAGGAGGCGCCAAAAATCCACGGTAATTTTCCGAACGTCCACCAGTTCGGCCTAGATTAATTATCAGTCTATTTGATAAAGTTATGAATAATTGGAGTTGAATATTTTGTCGCGTTTGAATTCCCCGAAATCATTCGGTGGAGCCATCAAAGCCCCTGCTTAATGTGCTAAAATCTTCGCCAATCAGAGCCCGCCTCTGTTGGCCGGAATTTGCGCTGCGATTAGTGCCCGTGACACTGACCCAGGGCAGTTAGTTCCGCGTTGACCGTTATCAATCACCAGTCGCCTGTGAATTTCTGAGTGTGCCCACACGACGTAATTGTGCCCACCCGGATTATTGTGCCTTTCGGAGAAGCTGTAAAAATCCAGGATGGTCCGAAAAGGGGAGAGGACCAGTAAACATCGAAAAACAGTGAGTTTTCTGGTATTTTTCCCCCCTAATTTCGAGCTATTTCCGAATGGCGTCGTCTCCCCTTTATGGCGGTATCCCTCTCGTGGCCCTCAGCCACGTGCAGTGGTTGATCACCCCTATAATCGCGTTTTAGTGGTCCTGATTGGGTGTTTTTAGCGGTAATCCCTTTTTCCTGATTTTTATCCGCGTGTTCCTCCGATTTTTGATCGGTTATTCCACCCGAATCGGGTCGGTACCGAGTTCTCATTGTGACTTCCGGTTTATCCCGGTTAGATTTTTTAGATGATTTTCGGGTTCAACGAGTGTATTTGGTTTTCAGGGGACTCATGATAAATTTTCCCGGTCGAAATCCGAGGATTTTCGACTTGGGGTATATCTATATTTCCCTCTACGTATAAATTGCGTAGAGAGGTTTAAGCATTCCCCATGAATGCTTTCCCCTTTGCGGCACCCCGCTAACGCGCCCACGAGTGATGGCTCGCGCTTCCCGTAAGTGTTCCTTCGTTCGAATTTCCCTCCGGATATAAATTAATCCGGAGTGACTCCCAATGATCCCAAAATTATAATTTTGGTTTCATGGGCTTCGCTAGACCTTCCCGAGCAAGTTGGCTTTGGGTTTTCGAAAATTCACTCTACCAATTTTCCGCTACGGCGAGTTTAGTTTTAGTGAGTTTTTAGTTTCCCGCAGTACATTGTACGTATACCGCTGGGTTTAGATTTTTCTCTCTCTCTCTCTCACTCTCACGGGGATCCACATACCTTTCCCCTCATTTCTCGGTATCCTCGAGTATTTCGAGATTAATCAATATTTTTATATTACCGTGTGAGGAATTTGATGACCTCACTTGTGGCCGAGTTAATCGATAAAGTATTATTTTCGGATTATATAGTAAACCTCAAATTATCATTTCCAATTTATTATTTGACAGTTAATCAGTTATTGTTATGAATTTTTTTTTTGTTGTTGGTGAGATCAATACGAAGAGAAAATCATGTAAATTGATAATTTTTACAAATTTCAATATTGAAACACGTAAGGACGATGTCGATTTCTTCTTTTTTTTGTAGTTTTGACCACCCAATACCCGTCTCCACCTAAAATCCACCCCTCTCTCCACAACCTAGCACACTGAGCGAACCAAGGACCGTTACCTTTCCCCAGAACTCTAGTTTTCTCCCTTTTGAGTACATTTTTGAGATTTTTAAATTAGTGAGAATTGATTTTGTAGAATCCTCCGGCTTGATAATTCCGGCTAAAAATTACGTGGCGCCCATAGATTTTGTGCATTTTCAAGTTTAACTAGATTCAGGGGAAGAAGGGCGAACGTAATAGGTATTTTCAACCCCCATGCAAAAATGTTACGTTACAATAAGTAACACGATCAAGAGTCTCCCACAGCTGAGACTCTTACGTCTGAGCCCGGAGAAGATGAAGATCGAGAAGCTGTCTGGAAAGTTCTTCTTAGCCGCTGTTATGCTTTCCTTGACCAATCTCAGCGAAGCTTGGCGCGGGATGGCATTTGCTTGCTTCGAGGATACAGGGTTTCTCAGACGGAGGAATTTTAGTACCACTTGATGGTCACGGCACTTTTTCAAAAAGGTTAGGGAGCACAGTTGGACGTGCAAGGACTTCCTAAGTTTGGTGAATAAATTCACCGACCCAAGAATAGCCCCTCCGTGGAGGCGTTTAATCTTAGTTTTGAGGCTTTCGCGGCCATTATTAATGACATTATTGGCTTCCGGATGGATGCCGCGTTTGGTTTCAGCATTGCGCCAACGTTTCGCAAACATTGCAGTCTGCATCTTCAGGGCTATGAGCTCCGATTCTGAGCTCCGATGTCTGGGGGTTGTCCTTATATGTCTTCCCCTGTGAAGGTGGGGGAAGGAGCACGGGGGTCAGCCAATCGTATGTTTTCAATTGATCAGCTGGTCAATTAAAAAAAGATATCCGCTTGTTTTTTGTTAATTCAAGGACTTTGAGAAATATTTTTTTTAGGTTGTTCAGTCAAAACTGCAAGGACTCAGACTTTGATTTTTACGATTTTCTAATTTTGCCTGGGAATGACGTAGAATGTCATAAAACGTGAAGACAACACGTTTTTAGAAAATGTGTGCATGTATGTCCCGATATGTGTGCGAACTTTTCAGAAAATTTTTATAAATTATTTGGCTTTTTTATTTTTTATTTCTATCAGTTCCATTGATAGTAGGCTTCTGAATCGATCCACAGATCCTTTAATTGAAAAGTGGCAAGTTTTATTGAAAACGTTTCCTCGAAAAGTTTGACCTTCTAAAATTGAGAAGTCAATTTAGATTGTATACAGTTGGATAGGCATATCTAAACGACCCCATTTTTAAGAAATGTTTCCATGTGAAAATCAATGATAGAACGACGATATGTCATTTTATGTGAAAAACGTTGTGACGAGTGATTTATCGTCCAATTTTTGTGGGCGCCAGTTGATTTGGTAATCTTTGAATTTTCCGGCAAACCAACAAATCCGGTTAGCTCTTGAATAATTAGGATCCCAGGGAGAAGGGAGGACGAAACTCCCCGCGATTAAATCAGCCACATTGACGAAAGGAGGACACACATAGAAATGATAAATTAATCGAGTTTATTTAATACGAATTTTCGAATATGAGAAAAAGAACATAGATTCAAAAACTGGTAGAAAATAATAATTTGCGTTCCGAAAGTAACTGACAACTCGTGAAATTCACGTAAATTTAGCAGAACAAGAAATTCACTCAAGCAAATCGACGAAATAATCAATACTCGATGGAATGCGGTGGCCCGCGAACCCAGACGCAAGTAGCGCCTACTTAATCGAAAATTATCGACTTTTACAATAAATTTTACAATATAATTCAGCTCTGACCTTACTTGACGATTTCTCTGACGTGTTGACAGCAAATAAGGATGATTTTATAAATTAGAAATGTAACTCAACGTAATTTTAAATTAATTAACTTGACTAATAAATTTGATTCGCGACTGATACTGTGACTACAACTTAATGTCTCGACTTCTCGACGAGGACTCCTGATGGGTCATCGTCTTATCGTCACTGATCTCTATACTAACTGGATAGACTATCCTTACGGGCCGAGTACGCTGGAAACTGAGGGCCTTGAATAGTTCGCCAGCGCCTCCCTTGTATGGCCTCGGAACTGCAGGATGCCTCAATGCGCTTGCACGACTAGAATGCTAGATAGTGGGGATGGTTATCTGACTGTGTCATTTTTCCGGTCCCATGACCCCCAAATATCTGTCATTTCGGTGACTGTCAATCAACAGCGAATACCTGCGCATTACCTGTCGACGAATGTCTTTAGGAAGAGTTCAATTATCAGTGAGGTTACGAAATAATTCATTCCTTCCACTCTGTAAACTTTTACAAAAATGGTTCGGTGTGAATACTGCAAAAAAAGATCCACCAAATCGAAAGAATTGTCTTTCCATAAGTTTCTGATTTTGTATCAGTGAAATGTGTAATGCAACTATAAGTAGATATTGCAGGAGGTAATGTATATGAAACATAGGCTCCAATCATAATAAAAAGAAAGAGTAAATATGAATTGCATTCGACAATGCAAGGCAATAATTTGGAGATATGAGAAGTTCACTAATGGTGATAAAATAATATAACTGGCAGTGATATAGCTCGCACAGTCTGTTGAATAATGTCTTTGTTGTATTGTATTAGTCCTTGAAATTATGAAAAATAATTTTAATAAATACCACGTGTTATTTTCTATTGCAGAAGAGAATAGAATTATTTCAATTGCATTTTTTATTGTATTTTATTATATTTCAATTAGATTGCATCGAATTGTCCTTATAATTCCGCCCATGCTATTTCACTTAAACCTGATCAAAATCGAGCTTCTATTATCTTTTTGTTTCATTCTCTCCTGTAACGATAATGTCACCTCATTGCACCACACAATATTTTAAAAAGAGGATTTATATTTATGTAACAATTTGTCGGAAGATGAATGGTTTTTCCACTTTCTGTGTTTATTCCCCCCGGCAATCGTCCCAGTTATCATTTCAATTGACGACAATGAAAATCCTNTAATAAATTTGATTCGCGACTGATACTGTGACTACAACTTAATGTCTCGACTTCTCGACGAGGACTCCTGATGGGTCATCGTCTTATCGTCACTGATCTCTATACTAACTGGATAGACTATCCTTACGGGCCGAGTACGCTGGAAACTGAGGGCCTTGAATAGTTCGCCAGCGCCTCCCTTGTATGGCCTCGGAACTGCAGGATGCCTCAATGCGCTTGCACGACTAGAATGCTAGATAGTGGGGATGGTTATCTGACTGTGTCATTTTTCCGGTCCCATGACCCCCAAATATCTGTCATTTCGGTGACTGTCAATCAACAGCGAATACCTGCGCATTACCTGTCGACGAATGTCTTTAGGAAGAGTTCAATTATCAGTGAGGTTACGAAATAATTCATTCCTTCCACTCTGTAAACTTTTACAAAAATGGTTCGGTGTGAATACTGCAAAAAAAGATCCACCAAATCGAAAGAATTGTCTTTCCATAAGTTTCTGATTTTGTATCAGTGAAATGTGTAATGCAACTATAAGTAGATATTGCAGGAGGTAATGTATATGAAACATAGGCTCCAATCATAATAAAAAGAAAGAGTAAATATGAATTGCATTCGACAATGCAAGGCAATAATTTGGAGATATGAGAAGTTCACTAATGGTGATAAAATAATATAACTGGCAGTGATATAGCTCGCACAGTCTGTTGAATAATGTCTTTGTTGTATTGTATTAGTCCTTGAAATTATGAAAAATAATTTTAATAAATACCACGTGTTATTTTCTATTGCAGAAGAGAATAGAATTATTTCAATTGCATTTTTTATTGTATTTTATTATATTTCAATTAGATTGCATCGAATTGTCCTTATAATTCCGCCCATGCTATTTCACTTAAACCTGATCAAAATCGAGCTTCTATTATCTTTTTGTTTCATTCTCTCCTGTAACGATAATGTCACCTCATTGCACCACACAATATTTTAAAAAGAGGATTTATATTTATGTAACAATTTGTCGGAAGATGAATGGTTTTTCCACTTTCTGTGTTTATTCCCCCCGGCAATCGTCCCAGTTATCATTTCAATTGACGACAATGAAAATCCTCCCTTCAAATCTCGATATTGTCTAATACAACATCAGAAAAATGTCCATTCAATTTTTCAACTTTACCAGGTCACATTACCCACCCCCCACTATGCGACTACCGTCGCGCAAGTACGCTAACGGCGCGCTTAGTTCCTAGGCCATACAACGGAGGTGCTGGGTGAACGTACAACTTGGGCCACCAGTGTCTTACAGGATAGTCTATCCAGTTAGTATAGAGATCAGTGGGTGACAGTGATTCGAGATATATCGAGATCGATTTCCTTTTTCCTTTTTACGATAGGATGTGATAAACAGTCATTAGACAATAGTCGTCAATTCCCCTTTTGCTAAGTATTTGTCTTTTTTTTTAAATTATTAACCCTCGATCCGTCGCGTCATGGCACGAGTGCCGTTCGGTCTCGATTTTTATTTTTTACGCTGAAACGTTGTTGAGAAAAAATCTAAAAAATTTTGAATTCCTACTTTCCACCATGTCAAACATTTAAGGGGTAACGGAACCCGTCGCACGCAGAGGTTAGGGGTCCCCCCTATCGGTATTGCAGGTCCCCGTGGTTTTTTGGATTTTGTACGTGAAAAGTACAAAATCCCATAAAATATAAATAAATATATATAAATAAATAATAATGGTATGGAAACATTCTACATCATCTTCTGACTCGTAAAAGTACTTCCCTCTTACAATTGGTGCCCTGTAAAGGACATGTCACCTCCTGGATACCACCCAATCATCATAAACAAGTTTTTATGAAAATTACGTAGCAAAAGTACGTTTTTGTACTCAAAATCTCTGTCTTGGACCGCACTCGATCGCTCTCTTCTCATGAAAATAGCCATCGGCTAAGAACAATCTACAAAAAATCGTTTTTTCTACCATGACTTGGCAGATTTCTACAAATAAAATGGCGTCGGCCTTGCCCTGGTCCTTGCCGTTAAATAATTTGCAATTTTTTTTTCCATAAATAAGAAAAGCATGAGAAGAGAGCGATGCGTTCTGCTGCTCTCAATACGAGGAAAAAGTTTCATTGATTCTCATTGCATAGAGTCCAAGAAAACTTGTTTTTGGTAAACGTCTTTTCGTGGTCGGTTCCGTTACCCTTTAAACAATTTTTGTTCTGTGCATCTTTGCACCGATCAAAAATTAAAATTCCTTGAAAATACGACCCGGTCGAAATCTCTACGTTTAACCTCTAAATGTCAAATTTTCGCACCGAATGGAAATCAATTTTTGAATAGTGTTTTCACTTTTCTCGTTTTGTACTGATATTAGTTGTTAGTTGGAAGATCAAAGTTACTCGTTGAATCATAAATACATGATTTTTTTCAACTTTTTTTTTCTCAAAATGGTAAAATACACGGAACGGTGCAGCGCTCATCACGCGACCAGATACGTTCAGTAGAGAGGTGCGACGACTCGAGGGTTAACCACAAAAATTGAATACTACTCCCATAATTATTAAAATCTCGGAATTTTTCTTTTTTTTTCATCGATATGAACTGCTATAAAATCAATTGCATGAATATGGTGCAAAAAATACAAGAATTTTTCTTGGGGATTTCAGCCGAAAAGTACCATCCCAGAAAAATTCCGCTAATACACAGTAAAAATTTGGATACTACATAACAGAGAATATGCTACCTCTTACTTTTCAATTTTTATTCTGATTTCATGTTTTTATTATGTTGTTATCATGATTAACTAGGGATCAAGAGATAAAGGAGGATTTAAAAAAATGTAATCTTTCAACAGAGAAGAAAACTTTTTATAATCGCTGATTGATAATACTATTAATTCTAAAGAATGGAGGCATCTAACAATGAGGAAAAACGTCTTCAGCACTAGTACGTCAAACACAAACGAGAGGGAAATATGTACTGTATATATATACTGTATATACGGGATATATATATATATACCCTTGAAATCATACTAATTCTTTTCAGTAAAACATAATAATAGTTTTTTATACATATACAGTACATATTTCCCTTTCGTATGTGTATATAAAAATTGTTTGCACAATGAAAATAAAATAGTCTTAATCATATATTACTCTTTCTGGTTTACTCTTGGGTAATTCTTTCGATAATTACTAATAACAGGGAAGAATAAGATTATACAAATCGTTGTGCAAGCTACACTGTCAAGTTTTCATGAGAACTTATTCATCCAAATTTTACCATTTAACCAGGATATATTGACGATTGAAGACGGTTTGTTTCAACCCACGTCTCCCCTGAATCAGTCCGATAAGAACATGATACATAATAGAGAAACTGAATTTTTCATAACACTTTCTTTTTTCCATTAGGCATGTTTATGGTGTGTGCAAAATTATTGGCCCGTGATGGTTTCCAAGTTGACAGGGCCTGCAGACCAACGATGCTACATTATCGTAGTACATTGCTTCATGCATTGACAACATTCACATTTTCACCGTTATTGATATTTGGTAGCCGTGAAGAGAAGCAAAATATTGTTCTAGAGTTATTTGGAAATTTTGAAGAGGATCAGGTAGGGCATTTTTCAAAAAACGGTTATTATTTTTTCTAGAACAATGGATTGATTCAAATTTTTTTGTTTGTTAACTGCTCTCTCAGAGCCATCCAGTGACTTCTGTTTTTGTTCAAATCCAATCACGTCACATTGAATTCTACTCAGCTGCAATCGGAATTTATGCCCATTTATCCGGGCTACGTTATTTGATGTTTCATTGGCCCATCTTGTCAGCTATTGTAGGCATCAGCACAAATTTATTTTTCATAGCACTCGTGTGCATACTATCGTATTTGCGTTTCGCTTACGAGGACGATTTGCAAAGCGACCAATTCGGATACGAGAGAGGAGCAATTGAAGAAATTCCACGGAAAAGTACGGCTGATGGTAAATTTGCTCATTCCAATGCATGTTTCTTGTTTGTTTCTGTGCTTATTTCTCCCACTAGCATATTTATAAATCTGATTTATTCAATATAATAAAATATATCCTCCGTGGAACATAAGTTATTGACACTGCTGCTACGTTCACCTCGTGCCAAAAAGTGCCTTTTCGTTTACAAAAAATGCCAAACCTCCTCCGCCTTTTCGTTTACTTATAATCGAAAAGTAAAAAAAAGGCAAAGTTCGGCCATTCGCTGGACATAACATCACTGTCAAAAAATATTGTTCGACACATGTGAGACGGAAATTTTCAACTCGCATGATTGGCAGCCCTCGGCTTCACCTCGAGCCGCCAACTTCACACACGTGAAAATTCCGTCTCACTCGTATTGAAATATATTATTTCGGCAGAACTGATTTTGTACATCCGTGAGCAGTTGGGCATGCACATACCCTTAAGAATGCCATCAGAAGATTGTAGAAGTCATTATACGTGAAGATATCAACTTTTGCATTGAATATATCCTATTTTCAAGGTCTTCATAATACGATCTTTTGGATGAGGAAGTTGAAATTACCTATTTTTATTATTTCGTGCGTAAGGCAGTTTTTCTCCGCCTTATCCTGTCTATGGACGTCACGTGTTATGTCAGAAGATAGTGTTCATCATTCGACAGAAAAGAACAAAAATCTAGCTCATATATAATTGCAGTCCTCGCCTTCAACTCGTTCTGCAAACTCATATTCGCTCGAAATTGTATATTTCGATACAAATACGACAGGTATTTCACGATTATGAAGTTGGCGTTGCTATCACGTGAGCTGAAAAATTCCCGTCGCACATGTATCGAACTATATTTTTTAGAATAAATTTTATTTGATTACTTAGATCCGGAGATTAATGTGGAGGGTCAGATGAGTTCAAGCGTCACATGAGACTCTAGGCTCAGATAGATAAGGGTCCTCATCCAACAATTCACACTCATCTAAGGCTCTAATATATTTGCATTGATTTGAACCTGAGACTGAACTGACCTTCAAACTCGACTGGCCCTTGGCCAGATGTTACGTACCCTGTACGTATGAGGATCGTTGGATAGTGTTACGTGCCCTGTACGAGAATTTCGGATAATTCTATTATCGATCCTCACCGTTTAAGAGGTTTCGCGGGTGACTTAGCTGGACAACGACCATATGGCGGAAGTGTGATGCTACGATTTAATTAGGGGAAAAATGCCTAAAAATAAACACAAGTTATGATACGACTTTTATCAGGGGACGGGATCGGAACGAAGGACGGTCTTCGCGTGTCCCACGTCAATTAGGGGAAGCAGATGGTCGACTATTCCCTTCACAAAATTTGGAAAAACTACGCAAGCTCAGACGGAAAATGAGGAGGCCTAATGTCACCTAATCACCAATCAACGAGCTCCATAAAGGGATATGAGAAACGTCACTACCAATCCCTGAATAATATCCAAAGAAATCCAATAATTAGGCGGATACCTGGAGAAGACAATGGTAAAAACAGGGGGAAGATTCTAGAACCTTCCATCCCTGATGACACACTTTCCATTCAATATAAAAAGGGAGCCGCGACGCGGAAAAGTCAGTTCGAAGGGTAGAATTAGTAGTCCGAAGCTCCAGTTCGGAGTTCGAAGCCTTGAAATTATAGCCAAAAGTCTCCAAAATCGCTATTCAAACTCATACTCCCAGTACAAGGTAGTGGTCCCTTTCCATCATAACGAGTCAACTGTCTAAGGGTCCAACCTGAGGAAATAATATTCTATTATTTCACCGTTCATCGAGATTGGCCATTCCTTCGGCTTTCCAGTCTACTCAAGCGGATCAACTATCGATCGACGGTTCACCAACCTCTGAGGACGTTTCTGCAGAGCCCAAAGATTCAACTCAACCACAGAGCACTCCTTCCGATCGCCCTGTTTTTTGATCAAGCAATTGTAAGTGTCCATGTCCTTCATTATCCTATTTCTCTACTTTTCTATCTTCCTATTTTTCCTCAGACGATTTTCACCCTGGGTTTACGCGAAATTGAGTCACCTTTAATTGAATAAAGTATTTAATTGGTGTAGCTGGTCTCTTTCTCTTCCTTTACGTGTTATATTTTCGGCGTATTTTATTACCTTATCCTAGTGACTTCCAGTCGTGACTGGTAACGGTCAGGTAAGAGTCAGCAGGTAGATATTCTTTCCCTCTCGCTCTCACTCAAGACACGGTTGTCCAAAACAGATACACCCTACCCTTCAGACCGTTCAGACTCCTCTGACCTTTCAAACGCATCTGACCCTTCGATTTAACTGATCTTTAGACTCGACTGACCCTTTGAACTCATCTGGCCCTTCGCACTCATTTGACCCTTCGTGCTTATTTAGTCCTTTGAACTCATCTGACCCTCCTAACTCATATTTTGGTACACCTCGTCATCCCAAAGCCGTCATTCATTAAATAATTAAAAAGGGTTTGATTTCAATAAGCGAGTAACCGGATAATCATTAGTTCAAATTATCTATTGATCAGTCTAGTAGGGAAGGTGGTGCGTGTACCGACCACCTAAAGGAAATGAGTCTTTTTTTCTAGCCTCGCACTCTACATGGAGTCATAAACGGTTAAAATGGGTTCTTCGAGATATTTACTCGAACATGTGAAGAGAACAGATGTTTTTTTTTAATATTAAACATATTTAATTATGTAATTCAATTTCCATTCAATGGCCAGTGAGCGATGGAATCGACCTTTGAGGGTAATACCATCCGGCATGTGTCTAATACCGCCCAACTTGTTTTGATTACTTTTTTAACCCTCCTGAACTGGCTAGATCTCTTACGTCTCACTTGCACTGCAGTGGCGCCCTATAGGTTGATTAGTTGGCGGCGGCACGCCACTCTACACGCCGTTCAGGTGGGTTAAGCAATGCAGACCAACTGTTATAATTGTTCCTATTTTCATCCTTCATTTCCATTCTTTGGCTCCATTTTGAGAAAAATTTCAGTCAATAATAAATTATCCTGAATTTACCCGATGTTCCAGTGGTCACCGACTACCCCAAACAATCGAGCTGTCACTCTACCGCTCTCTAGCTGCAGAGTCTAGCAGCCCTGTGGAATAGTCCAGTGAAAGAAGGTCTGAAATACATGGTTCTGCGAAACAGCCTGCTTTTTTGTGTAAAAATCAATTGTTGACTTATAATCAATATTTGGGGCTAATCAAGGTACTCACCCTCCGTTAAGGGGTGAAAAAAATAGAAAATTACCCCCCAAAAAGTGTTTTTCTGAAATAACTCGAGAAATACTCGAGCTACGATGTGAAGCATATAGAACAAAATTGTAGAGCGCAAAATTCTCTACAAAAAAGGTCCCGACCACTTCACCCCTATTTCGCGTCGTTCATCCCCCAGAGCCGTTCAAAAACTCGGGGTGAGAAAATTTTTAAAAAACATTCAAAAACAATTTTTTTTTTATTTTTCCGTCTTATTGAATATTTAGAAAGGTTCAAGCTTCAAGTCTCATTTTTTTACCCCATTGGGAAGCAATTTTCACGGAATTACGACCTAAAATTCATTATAACTTTTTTTCCAATCGNAAATATCTGAACAATGAGTTATTTTATTTATGACGATGAAACTGGTGGGAGAACATAGCGGGAGATGTGGTGGGGGGACTACGGCCCCCACTACCGTCGTTCACTGTACGCGCCCACGTTATTCAATNGTTTTTTTTTTTTTTTCACAAATTTTATTGTAATATTTCCGACAATTTTTGTAGGAAACATTTTCATGTATCTCCTACAGGGATAAAGTTTAACGCAATTCTCTATTTCTACCCCTCCAGGTAGGCTCTATCGGAGAACCCCTGGTGAGAGAGAGAACNGGGGAGGAGATATCTCGGTGAATTCAATCGGAGATTTTCAATTGATTTTTGAAAATCCAAGTGAAAAAAAAAAATTATCATTCAAGGCAAACACTTGGGGTTAAGTTTTTTTTCACAATGTACCCCAAGGGTTGGGGGTTGATTTCCACTAGNGATGTGCCCTACTCTCTCGGACTCTATGCGCTTGCGCATGACGACACCGTGTAGTCTGTTAGAGTGTCAACACGTGGAAAAGTAGAGTGAAGACGTTTTGGAGTTATAATGCGTGTATTCTCTGTTTCATAATTTTGGATTATTTGTGTAACAAATTGTGAGTGNTCAAAAATGAATTTCACCCAGTTTTGGGGAAAAATAAAGGATTAAAATCCAACGCAAACACTCCGGGTGGAAATTTTTTGTGCAACATGCACAGGGAGGGTTGGGGGTTGATCCCACCTTGGAATCATCTTGGTGCCCTAATTAGGGCATTTTCAATTAACTTTGGAACATTTTTTTAATGGAGTCTTGGAGGAAAATTAAGGGTTAAAATTCAACTCAAACCCTCTGGGGGGGAATTTTTTGTGCAACATGCACAGGGGGGTTGGGNGGAAATACAAAAATAAAACAGTGATCATAAGAAATCATCGAGAAGACGAGGTAATTAAATTATGTTAGTTCTTTCTCGCTCTGCTACCATCAGGAGCATAAAATTGCTAAAAATTGCTATTTACTTAAATTGTTAAATTTAAGATTAACATCTAAAATTTTCTCCTCTACAGTTTTTTCCATTCTCTCCTAAAATCGCTCGAAAATAATTTTAAAAAATATAATCAAAATCAACAGTGCTACGAAATNGTTGGAATCATCCTGGTGCTCACTAGGTTGCACAAAAAATTTCACCCCTAAGTATTTGCGTTGAATTTTAACTCTCAATTTTCCTCCAAGACTCGATAAAAAAAATGTTCGAAAATTAATTGAAAATGCCCTAATTAGGGCACCAAGATGATTCCAAGTGGGGATCAACCCCCAACCCCCCCTGTGCATGTTGCACAAAAAATTTCACCCCCANTTTAAAAAATATAATCAAAATCAACAGTGCTACGAAATTAATGATACTCCATACGTCAATTCTCCCAAATCCTAATTAATTTCTCATTGAAAGTGCAAATATCTGAACAATGAGTGATTTTATTTCAAAAATGTTGATTTTTTTTTCCATTGACAATTTTCTCGTTCTCAAAAATCCTCTAAAAAACGAGGTAATTAAAATATATTAGTTTTTCTCGGTCTGCTACCATTAGGAGACTAAAATTGCTCATGTTAAATTTGAGGTTGNTCTGCATGTTGCACAAAAAATTTCACCCCCAAGTGTTTGCGTATGATTTTAACCCTTGATTTTCCCCCAAGACTGAGTAAAGTTAATTTTCAAAAAATAATTAAAAATGCCCTAATTAGGGCACCACTAAAATTCCGAATGGGGATAAACCCCCAACCCCCCGCATGTATGTTGCGCAGAAAATTTCACCCCCAAGTATTTGCGTTGGATTTTGACCCTTAATTTTCCTCCAAGACGCGATAAATAAAATGTTCGAAAATTAATTGAAAATGCCCTAATTGGGGCACCACTAAAATTCCGAATGGGAATCAACCCCCAACCCCCCTTGTGCATGTTGCACAAAAAATTTCCCTCCCAAGTATTTGCGTATGATTTTGAAATTGGTATTTCATACTTCCCAAACTCGGAAAAGTCAAAATCACTACATAAAAATCTTGTCCCGGACTGGTGCGATGGGGTTTTTTTACTCGTGTGGTTGGGCAGTCCTCGCCTTCGGCTCGGACGCCAACTCCACCGGAGTAAAAAACCCCATCGTACCAGTCCGGAAAATATCTATTCTGACTCATGTGATTACAGTTCTCGGCTTCGCCTCATATCCATCAGATTTTTTTTTGTACTACTATTCTGAATCGTTTTGTATTATGAAAATATTGAAAATAATTTTCAGGTATCTTGTAAATGTGCGAGGAGTAAATGCAACACGGGTGTATGTGTTTGCAAAAAAGCTGGGCTAAATTGCAGTCAACTATGCAAATACTATGATGATGATGATAATTGTCTGAATCAACCTGTCGCGAATTCAGATGAACCGGCAGAGAAGGAGACAGATGTTGAAGTTGACACAGATGAAGAAATTCAGCCTGTTCGGAGGAAAAACATCTACAGATATGATTCCGATGATGAAGAGGAAGAAGAAAACGAAGAAGAAAGAGATGAAGATGACGGCGATGATGAGTTCGAAACGATTGATTTCGATTATTATTGATATCTGTAATGAAAAATTCCCCATTAAATGCTGTTTATGATTTCCAACTCATGAGTGAATTATTGAAATAATTACCACCTGGAAAAAATCAATTACAATCATTCTATGCCTTTATAATTTATATAAATATGTGTGTGTATATATATATATATATATAACACAACTGTCATACTGGTAATTTACGAATAAATTTGTTCGTTTTTTATAATATTTTCTCGTAAGTAATTTTAAACTACACAAAGATTTAATCTCGAGAGTGTAATACATGATTNCTTTCTAAATATTCAATAAGACGGAAAAATAAAAAATAAATTGTTTTTGAATGTTTTTTAAAAATTTTCTCACCCCGAGTTTTTGAACGGCTCTGGGGGATGAACGACGCGAAATAGGGGTGAAGTGGTTAGGACCTTTTTTGTAGAGAATTTTGCGCTCTACAATTTTGTTCTTCATGCTTCACATCGTAGCTCAAGTATTTCTCGAGTTATTTCAGAAAAACACTTTTTTGGGGGTAATTAATTGTCAATTTTTTTCACCCCTTAACGGAGGGTGAGTATCTTGATTAGCCTCGAATATTGATTAGAAGTCAAAAATTGATTTTTACACAAAAAAGCAGGCTGTTTCGCAGAACCATGTATTTCAGACCTTTCACTGGACTAGAACCCCTGGGCGGCATTACCCTTAAACTCTGGGCAGAATTATCCAGAAGCGTGGAACTAAAATAGCCAATAATAACTGATGACGATATTTTTCTGCTATCGAAAAGGTCGCAATGAATGTGGAAATATATAACGAACATATATTTCGCACTCCATTCAATTATGGACCAATTGAAAATTTGAAAAATCTTGAATTCGGTAGGAAATGATTTTGATTTTTTGAAAGTCAAAAATTGAAAATTTCTGTTGAAATTACTTGTTATCAATTATAAAAATAATTAAGAAATTTACATTTTCAATTAACTATGGACCGAAAGATCAACCACATTTCTGCGATGATTGCGGATTGATCCAATAATTCTCTATCTTGATTAATGATTATTTGATCAACCAATTAATTTGTAGTTTCATTCTTGGTGGAATTAATAATTAATCTCTTAACAATTCCGGTTACTAGTTTTTTTTTATTAATCGGTCATCCAATACTGATTCTCGATTGAGCATTCATTGCATAATCTTCTGTTGTGATTATCGATTGATGAAATAATCGGAAGATTGAGCATAACAATTGACGATTCAGGACAATGATTTGCACCATTCCTAAGAATATTGAGGAATTAATAATTATTACCGACCTCTGGTGAACGGTACCTTTTTTCATTTATAAGTTAACGAAAAGACACTGTTCGGCACGAGGTGATAGCAGTGACAAAAGTAAAAATTACTACATGTCTCACTAATGGTCAAACTGTCATAGAGGGCAAATGAATCACATGAGACCGTATATCTTTTCTAATTCAAAATACCGCCAGTGTCTGTTATTTGACTCGTACGATCATTTTGCTTAAGTCTTCTGTCTTTCCGAATACCGCTTTCCTCCTCTTAGTCCAGTCAAAATACTGTAAGTGAATTATTTTCAATATTTTATGGTATCTTTTTTAGTCCATGTATCAGTATTGCCCCTTTTACCTTTAAGAGTTTTCAATCCTTTCACATGATTTTCAGCAGAAAGTTGACTTGAATATGAAAAGAAAATAAGAACATCATTTGTATACTTATTTCAATTCCACTGATAAGCAATTTTTTTGCATTATAAATATTATACACTTCTCAACCATATTATTTATCCGCCATTTTTTTTTTACACTGAACTAGTGATCACACCTGCGCCAATAATGAGTCAATAATAAGATTAATTTTATATTAATGTACCATAATGTTTCACAGAGGCATTTTGACACATGTAAATACACATGTTTCATAATTGTTTTTATGTAAATCAAAGGGCTCTCGTATTTTTCCTGTAATATACACGAGCTTGCATTGAAAAAAAGTATAAAATCTAGAGATCTAAAAATATTAGTTGTGTGACTTAATTTTTACAGATTTTTCAGTAAATTTATTTAATATAAAAAAATAGAGAACAACGACCTTAATCTTGGAAATATTGTCCATCGTTTTCTATGACCTTGCGCCATCTCTCAGGGAACAGTCGAATGCCGTCGCGAAAGAAACTTGCCGGCTTCGAGGGGATAAAGTCATCGACGAATTTACGCACATCCTCCAGCGTCTTAAACTGTTTATCCACTAAGGCGTGCTGCATGGACCGGAACAAGTGATAGTCGGATGGGGCCAAGTCTGGTGGATATGCCGCGTGCAGGAGAACTTCCCATTCTAAGTTTAAGAGGGTCTTCTGAGTCGCGCGAGCAACGTTTGGTCGAGCATTGTCATGCAGCAGTATGACTTGCCTGCATCCTTGCCCAGTAAATGGCCCTTTCCGATCAAATTCTTCGCTTAGTTTGTTCAGTTGTCGGCTGTTCCACAGTCATCGTCTGACCTGTTTCCAGGAGTTCGTAATAAAGCACACCCTTCATGTCTCACCAGATACACAGGAAAATTTTCTTTAAGTGGATGTTCAGTTTCGGCGTCGATGTACTGGATTGTCCGGGATCTACCCACGACTTTTTACGTTTGGGATTCTCGTAAAAAATATACTTTTCAGCACCCGTCACAATTCTCCACAAGAAGTCCTTTTTTTGTTGCCAAGCAAGCAGTGAAAGGCACGTGTTCATACGTTGACCTAGGTTGTGTTCGGTCAACACATGTGGGACCCACCTTCCAAGTTTTTGGATTTTTCCCATTTGATGCAAACACTTAGAAATAACTGTTCGGGTGACTCCTAACTGAGCTGCAAGCTCTTGTTGCGTTTGCATTGAGTCTTCATCCAGTAGAGCTTGCAATTCCGCATCTGTAAACTTTCGAGGCTGTCCAGGACTCGGCTGGTCACTCAGATCGAAATCACACCTAAAACGTTTGTACCAATAATTACACGTTTCATAAGATATAACGTCGGCATCAAGAACACTACACATTTATTCCCGTGCTTCAGAAGCATTTTTTCCTTATTGGAATTCGTGTAAAATGCAGTGCCGAATGTGCTGTTTATCAGTTGCCATGGTAAACCCTGCTATTCTGAAAACTTACCTAACTTACATAGACTTGTCGTTCCGTGTTCTGAAACCTTTTGTCCGATCCTTTCAAAACCAGAAACGCCCGCCAATATATTTCTATTTTAAATATAATTTTAAGCTCGAAGAAAAAATCTGTAAAAATTAAGTCACACACCTAATAGAAATGTATTCGTGTAATACAATGTGAAATCGGCTCTGAATATATGCAAGTGTGCGGCACCTCTCATATGGAGTACATAATACAACTCTTTTTATTAGAATCATCAGAATCTTCATCTATTGAAGATGCATCCATGCTGGAGGAAGTAGGAAAATCACGGCGCGGATCTCTGGCATTAACGGCTCCGATAATACACCAGCCCAGTGATCCACAGGCGACCGACGTAGAATTATGAAAATGAGGCAAATTTTCTCATAATTATTTTCCTTCTGGTATGAGTGGTACATTTCGTGAAGTGATATATTATTCTTAATTTTTGTACATTTGTGCTACTAATTAAATTTCCTAATGCCCAATATAAAATTTGTTATTTTTATTATTAAATTTTACAGTACTGGGTATGAGTATCTAATTATTCATAAATATAAAATACAGATCATTGTGTAGATAGAGATCCTGTAAATTCACAGGTGAAGAAAATGAAAGGAAAAAAAGCATCTGACAATTCATCAAACGTATAATGAACTATGCTATTTCCTGATGGCCTCATAGAAAGGAAATCCGGCAAATACTCAGTGGTAAGTTAGTATTTACACTTGGGAACAGTGATTTGCAATTTTCTGAAGTTTCACAGAAAAAATAAGTCCGTAACAGATAGTTAGAACATGTTTTAGTCCTCTGGTACATATTGATGCCAATTTTTTCCTAAATTGTTACATTTACTAGCGAACGGGCGCTTTGCGCCCAAAAAAAATTTTGCGCGCAAAAAATTGTATTGTTTCTCAGAAAGAAAATTTGAAAAAATGCCGAGTAACCATTTCAATGCGTCGTTGTGGAAAAATGCCCGAGTACTTATTTATGGATAGTTGTGTCTGGGAAATTGGAAAAAGTGCAAAAATAAGGAAGAGCGCCAAGTTCATAAAGTTGAACTTGTCATTTTGAAAAACCACAGAACTTTTCATAACATCTAGAAATAATTTCAACTTTTTTCTACAGTCGGCTTGTACTGTTGCAAATTTTATAAGTTTGAACTCATCAATGCCAACTCAATATTGTCTATTCCTGTGAGTTACGGAGTGGGTACGACCATAAAAAGGGTGGTTATCCACACAAAGTCAATGAAAAAGAGTGTCAATACGAGTGTTTCTTGAAAAAAAAATTGTTCAGAAAATTCTCAGGACCAATGTACTTGGCGCGGTTATCTATCTTGATGCGGATCCTTATTTGGGAGTCTATTGTTTAAGATTTGAGATCCAATTTGGGACTCAGAAATTGCTTTGAAGCATACTACACTTTGCTAGATGTTCAAATCTTTAGATAGTCAATTGTGTGATTGTGTTGGATGGAATTGCCGGATAGTTTAAGTTAACGCCTTAAGCTTATTCTTTTCCATTTTCCAATATTTTCATTTTTGTGAATAGAAATTAAATTAATTAAGGTAGTGATCGCCAGGTAGTTATCGGTTTTTGCGACATAAAAGCATGGAGACGGTTCATTCAACCATGGTGTCAACATAAAGCGACAACTCTCCGCAATGAGTATTTCAAAAAACCGCGCCAAGTACTTTGGTCCTGAGAATTTTCTGAACAATTTTTTTTTAAAGAAACACTCGTATTGACACTCTTTTTCATTGACTTTGTGTGGATAACCGCACTTTTTATGGTCGTACCTACTCTGTAACTCACACGAATAGACAATATTGAGTTGGCATTGATGAGTTCAAATTTATCAAATTTGCAACAGTACAAGCCGACTGTAGAAAAAAACTTAAATTGTTTCTACATGTTATGAAAAGTTCTGTGGTTTTTCAAAATGACAAGTTCAACTTCATGAACTTGGCGCTCTTCCTTATTTCTGCACTTTTTTCAATTTCCCAGAAACAACTATCCATAAATAAGTACTCGAGCATTTTTCCACAACAACGCATTGGAATGGTTACTCGGCATTTTTTCAATTTTTTTTCTGAGAAACAATACAATTTTTGTTGAAAATTTCTTTGCTGAGCAACAATACAATTTTTTTAAATACAATGCTTACAAAGGCGCACTTGGCCGGTTTTTTCGAAAACAAATTTTTTTTTGCTTTTTGGGAGATTTCAATCATTGTTCCAAACCGAGTGACTCATGTCACAAGGAAAGACTCCAGATAATATGCAACATTATTTGGATTTACTTTGCTCCAAGAAGAAAATATAAATATCCTTGGAGTTCCTTGGCCATCGCCTTTTGGTAACGGTTAAATCATCGACATGTATACACTCGCTTGTTTACCTTTCAAGATATCGAGTACATTCAATAGCGAAGTGGTGAACCGGGTTAAATCGATTTTGACTTTTGGCCAGTTTTGGATGAATATCTCGGAATCTAAGAGAGATAGAAAATTTTTTCGCACTACCTTATTTATAACCCTCAATGCTCTACAAAAAAGGTCGTGACAAAAATTGTTCTACCTCTTTTAGATTCTGAGGTATTTGTCAAAAACTGACCAGTTGTCAAAATCGACTTAACGCGGATTACCGCTTCGCTACTGAATTCACATTTTTTTTGTATTCTCACAAACCTCCTACGCTCCATATCTCTTGAACAAATCATCGAAATTTACATAGTTCTCTCATAAATTATTTTTCGAACCATCGTCACTGATGGATTCCCATTCAGAAAATACAGAGACAAAAAGTGGATTAGCTTTAGAAACTAGTTTCTAGATTTAAAAAACTCTTGTTCTTAATCTTTATCCTTGGTGGGATCATAAAAGTTAACCAATTTGGGGATTGTTTTTAAGAACCGATATTTTCTAAAACCAATGCTGAATTTTTCTTAATTTTATAAAATTTTCAAATTGAACTAAAAAATTGCAGCCGATATATTTAAAGGGCATAATCGCCCCATACATAGGGTGTTATGTCCGCAGATGTTGTCAGCGTCGGAGGACAACTTTTATATTTTAATTTTCATACTCTCGAAACATAATCTAAAAATTATCAATAAAAGAATAATCTGAAGGATTATCTTTCATCTCTTTAATTTTTATTATGAGGACGACGCTATACAGTCCTTTTCAGGCGTAAAAATAAATTGAAGTTTTATTTAGCATCAAAAGATTGATTTAATTTATTATATTTATTTAATCGGCTTCAAAGTTTTTAGCAATTTAATATTTAGATGTTTACACCTTTTCAGATTTAGAAAGTTATAATTTTACCAGAACTATAAATTTTATTGTCGGAATTTTAGCAACATCAGTTGTAACGAGATTTTCTCGTTACGGGTTGAAATCCCCTTAAAAAGATGAGTGAACTCTCAAAATTGTTAAAGAGAGATAAGTAGTGACACCTAGAAGCGGCTGAAGAAAGCCGGGACTAGGTGAGATAAACCACAAACCGATGAAAGACCTAAGGCATAGCGGTTATGGGTGAAACCGCGGCCCCTGGAGGTCTGGAGGGCGTACTAGACTATCGCCGTAGTAGAATTCGCCCAGCATGTGCTAGGGGAAATGGGGCCGATGTACAGGCCGTCCAACTGGGCGATTCTATAGGCTATGTCGGAGTAGGCTAGGGACTAACGGCCAGGTGAAAGGACTGGTACTTCCGTGATCCCGTCGGATTGATTGGTGGGGATAGGGTAACGGAATGACCTATCGTCGCCGAGATATCCAGACTAGGAGGCAAGGCCCTAGTAAGATTCCGAGTTAGTCGCACGCGAGCGCTTGAACCGAGAGGTTGAAATAATCTCTCGGTGTGCTGGAAGTGGTGGATGGCTGAAGAAGCCATGGTAAGGAGTTTACTCAGCGTAGCCTGGTGCATAACTGTGGCGGCGAATATAGGGGGATGCCCCTGCATCCCCCGCGCGTAAATCTGAGTTATTTCGGAACGCGAGGTGACGACTTCGTCGTGTTCGGCGTCATCTAGTCTCGGCGGAACGATTCGAGGCGTATGGGCCCGTGGGCCTGGAGTCGAGAAATCCTCCTGTCGGTCCGACCATACGCCGACGGTCTAGTACTACCCGGAGGCAGTGACGCGCGATGACCAAAGCGGTAACTGGTGGTGGAGAGAGTGGGTGGTCGTAGCGTGGGTAACGTAGTTCCACCCTGGTCAGATCAGCCTCTCCACGTCCCAGGCTCTGAGGAGTCCCGGCTGAATCGCAGGTAGCTCGGAAACTCTCCCGAGTAGAAATACTTGGAGAGAGGAAGCATGCCGGAGGAGTCGAGAGACCCTCCGGAGGAAAGATGAATCCCATTCAGTAGGGAACTTGTGCCGCGAGGCATAATTCACGGCTTACAAAGGCCGTGGAATGTGACGGTAATACTCCTGGTGGACCTCGCCCACTCTACCGTATCACGCTGATGTTAGCTGGGCAACCCATTGTCCAGCCAAAAAGTCCTCTGAGTGGACGAGTTTGCCTCAGAGGCCGGTTTTCGTCGAACCTCCCGTGAAGGTTCGGCTGGCGCCCGAATATTGAGCGATAGAGACGGTTAAAAAGTAGTTTGGATTTTTCCTGGGTGAACAACCCGGGAAAATATCCTTACACAGTATGAATGACTTTGCATTGATTATTCGGTTTATAGTAATTGATTAAGATTTTACAATTATATGGAAAAATATTCGTTGCTTAAATTAATATATGAATTTATCGGCAAACTAACGATTTCATCACCGGCAACGAAACCATGTGGCGTTACTTTCAATTAGTCTATTTTCTTTCACTCATGGATAAATAATAAGAGGTTTGTGTAGAATTGAAGAGAAATAAATTAATGGGCCGGTATGAAAGGCGAAATGAAATATTGAAGGTCCCTTATATGCAAGAAAAGACACCATTCTCGATTTAAGGATGCAGTATCCCTACGCAAACACGCCCGATAGCTATCTACTATTAATTCGGTAGGTTACCACGCATAGTATCGACTTAAGCGAATTACTATATGGGAAGAAACGCGAAGGTAGATCGATTTTGTGAACATTTTCCACCAGTAGTTCAATAATTTCGCGATCACTAAGAAATTTGGATTTCTCTTAAAGGGAGAGAACCCCCCTTTAAGACTCGACCACTCCGGACGAGGAGCGATAAACGACTGGCTTGGTTTTTGATTTTGATTGTGGAAATGAGCGTTGACCCCTTAAATTGTGTGGTGCAACGCTTGAATTTTTGCTGATCAGGTAGCAACAGCATGGGCTATGCTAACTGGTCTCAATTTCGTTGAGTTTACGGGTGGAAAATGTATGTGGAAGAAGTAAGATTGGGAAATGACGACGGAAAGTCGGCCATTTCTCAATACTGGATTCACTAATATTTAGAACGATGATGAATTTCCAATAAAATGATGAAGAATTATTTTTGGAGGTTACAAGGGAAGGAAGC